AAGATGGCCTCTAAGACGGCCCTGGAGCACCCCAAGAGGGCCCCAAGTCGGCCCAGAGAGGCCCCCCAGACGGCTTCCGACGGCGTCAGACGGGCCCAGAAAGGCCCCCCAAACGGCTTCCGACGGCGTCAGACGGGCCAGGAGCCCACCGAGATGGCCGAAGTTGACTCGAAGCTGGCCCAAGACGGCCCAAGAGGCCACCAAGAGGGCTCCAGGAAGGCCAGAAGAGGCCAAAAACCTTGATGTTCCGCAGATTTTGAAGGATTTTGACATTTGCTTCGTTTCGGCCTTCCGACGGTCCGAGACGGCCCAAGAGCCCCCAAAGATCGCCGAAAGATCGCCCAAGAGGCCTCCAAGATGGCCCCAGAACGGCCCAAGAGGCCACCAAGACGGCCCTCAGAGGCCCCCAAGACGGCCCAGGAGGCTTTTAAGACGCCCAAGATGGCCTCCAAGACGGCCATGGAGCATTCCAAGAGGGCCCTCAGTCGGCTCAGAGAGGCTCCCCAAGCGGCTTCCGACGGCGTCGGACGGGCCAGGGCCCACCAAGACGGCCGAAGATGGCACTAAGATGGCCCACGACGGTCCAAGAGGCCTCCAAGAGGGCCTCCAGGAAGGCCCGGAAAGGCCAACATCTTTAATTTCCAATGAGTGTTTGAAGGGTTGTGGCATTTGTTTTCTTCCCAGCCTTCCGACGGCCCGAGACGGCCCAAGTGCCCCCAAAGATCACCCAAGAGGCCCAAAAACGGCCCCAAGAGGCCCCCAAGACGGCCCAAGAGGCCTCCAAGACGCTCAAGAAGGCCTCCAGGCGGCCGAGATGACCTTCAAGATGCCCACGTGTTCCCCGAAGGCTTTCCAAACCGATTCGGGGAACACATGGTCCGATAGCTTGGCAGGTCTGGCCTCAACGTTCGGCCACATAGGCGCTTCCAAAAAGGCAGGGGGAGGCGGTGATGAGCCGTAGGCGTCTTCGATCCGCCGCCCCCCGTCGATTCATCGCAAGGGTGTCTGGCGTGCCAAATTATTTCGGTTTTGATTTTGGTTTTTTGTCCAAAAGAGCTCCCCCTGGGGCTTCGGCCCGTCCCGCCAGGGTCCCGGGACGATCTTCAAGGAGCTCAATTCCTGGAAAAAGCCTCCAAGACGGCTCAAGATAGCCTCCAAGATGGCCACGTTGGCCCAAGATGGCCTCCGAGATGGTCCCAGATGGCCTCCAAGTTCGCCCAAGATGGTCCAAGACGGCCTCCAAGACGGCCTCAGAGAGTCCAAGACAACCCCAAGTTCGCCCAAGAAGACTCCAAGACGCCTCCAAGACGGCCCGAGAGGCCTCCAAGATGTCCTCCACGAGGGCCCGAAGAGGCCAAAATCATTGACTCTCCATAGGTGTTCGAAGGATTTTGGAATTTGCATGTTATCGGCATTCCGACGGATCAAGACGGCCCAAGAGGCCCCAAACATCGCCCCCACAGCGCCCAAGAGGCCTCCAAGATGGCCTCAGGACTGCCCAAGAGGCCCCCAAGACGGCCCCAAGAGGACACAAAGACGACCCAAGAGCCCTCCAAGACGCCCAAGATGGCCTCTAAGACGGCCGTGGAGCACCCCTAGATGGCCCCAAGTCGGCCCAAAGAGGCCCCCCAGACGGCTTCCGACGGCGTCAGACGGGCCAGGAGCCCACCAAGATGGCAGAAGTTGGCTCGAAGCTGGCCCAAGACGGCCCAAGAGGCCTCCAAGAGGGCCTCCAGGAAGGCCCGAAAAGGCTACAATCATTGACTTTCCATGGGTGTTGGAAGGATGTTGACGTTTGCTTCGTTTCTGCCTTCCGACGGCACGAGACGGCCCAAAAGCCCTCCCAAAGATCGCCCAGGGATCGCCCAAGAGGCCTCCAAGATGGCCTCAGGACTGCCCAAGAGGTCCCCAAGACGGCCCCAAGAGGACACAAACACGACCCAGGAGGCCTCCAAGACGCCAAAGATGGCCTCTAAGACGGCCCTGGAGCACCCCAAGATGGCCCCAAGTCGGCCCAGAAAGGCCCCCCAAACGGCTTCCGACGGCGTCAGACGGGCCAGGAGCCCACCAAGATGGCCGAAGTTGGCTCGAAGCTGGCCCAAGACGGCCCAAAGGACCTCCAAGAGGGCCTCCAGGAAGGCCAGAAAGGTTTTTGAAGGATTTTGACGTTTGCTTCGTTTCGGCCTTCCGACGGCCCGAGACGGCCCAAGAGCCCCCAAAGATCGCCCAAGAGGCCTCCAAGATGGCCCCAGAACGGCCCAAGAGCCCCCCAAGACGGCCCAGGCGGCTTTTGAGACGCCCAAAATGGCCTCCAAGACGGTCATGGAGCATTCCAAGAGGGCCCCAAGTCGGCTCAGAGGGGCATCCCAAACGGCTTCCGACGACGTCGGACGGGCCAGGGGCCCACCAAGACGGTAGAAGATGGCACTAAGGTGGCCCAAGACGGCCCAAGAGGCCTCCAAGAGGGCCTCCAGGAAGGCCCGAAAAGGCCAAAAGCATTGATTGCCATGAGTTGTTAAAGGGATTGTAGCATTTATTTTTTTTTCCAGCCTTCCGACGGCCCGAGACGGCCCAAGTGCACCCAAAGATCGCCCAAGAGGCCCAAGACGGCCACAAGAGGCCCCCAAGACAGCCCGAGAGGCCTCCAAGACGCTCAAGAAGGCCCCCAGGACGGCCCAAGAGCCCTGCAAGACGTCCTCTAAGAAGACCCAAAAGGGTCAAAATGGCCTCCAGGCGGCCGCGTGTTCCCCGAAGGCTTTCCAAGCCGATTCGGGGAACACGTGGTCCGATAGCTTGGCAGGTCTGGCCTCAACGTTCGGCCACATAGGCGCTTCCAAAAAGGCAGGGGGCGGCGGTGATTCGCCGTAGGCGCCATCGATCCGCCGACCCCTGTGTGCTTGCAACAAGTGCCCGGCGTACTAGACCCTTTCGGTGTTGGTTTTGGTTCTTTTCCAAAAGAACTCCCCCTGGGGCTTCGGCCCGTCCCGCCGGCCACCCGGAAGGGCGCGCAGAGATGCACAACAGGTTGTTGCAAAGGGTTTTTCGGCTCCAGATGGCTCCAAGATAACCTCCAAGATAACCAAGGTGGCCCAAGATAGCCTCCAAGTTCGCCCAAGATGGTCCAAGATGGCCTCGAAGACGGCACACGAGAGTCCAGGATGCCTCCAAGTTCGCACAAGAAACACCTAACACGGCCCAAGACGGCCCCAGAAGCCTCCAAGCGGCCTCCAAGACGGCCCTAGAGGCCTCGAAGAGGTCCTCCAGGGTCCTCAAGGACGGCCCGAAGAGGTCACAATCATTAATTTCCTTTTGGTTGTTTGAACATTGTTTGCTGTTGCTCCTTTGTGGCCTTCCGACGGCCCAAGACTGCCCAAGAGGCCATCAAGATCGCCCCAAGAGTGCCCAAGAAGCCTCCAAGACGACTCCAGGACGGCCCAAGAGGCGCACAAGAGGGCCCCAAGAAGGCCCCAAGACGGCCCAAGAGGCTCCCAAGAAGTCCCAGATCGCCTCCAAGACTGCCAAGATGGCCTCCAATATGCCTCCAAGACGGCCAAGATGGCCTCCAAGATGGCCTCCAAGATGGCCAAGATGGCCCCAAGATGGCCCCAAGATGCACCCAAGACGGCTCAAAATGGCCTCAAGATGGCCTAAGACTGCCCTATAGGCGCGCAAGAGGCCTTCAAAGACGGCCCAAGAGCCCTCCAAAACGTCCTCCAGGAAGGCCCAACAAGGTTAAAATCATGGATGCTCCTTGGGTGTTTGAAGGATTTTGGCTTTTGCTCCTTTTCAGCTCTCCGATGGCCCAAGACGGCCCAAGAGGCCACAAACATCGCCACAAGAGCGCACAAGAGGCCTCCAAGATGGCCCCATGACAGCCTAAGAGGCCCCCAAGAGGGCCGCAAGAAGATCCTAAGACGGCCCAAGAGGCCCCCCAAGACGCCCAAGATAGCCTCCAAGACGGCCAAGATGGCCTCCAAAATGCCTCCAAGACGGCCAAGATGGCCTCCAAGATGGCCAAGATGGCCCGAAGATGCACTTTGGGACGGCCCAAGATGGCCTCAAGATGGCCTAAGACGGCCCTGTAGGCGCGCAAGAGGCCTCCAAGACGGCCTAAGAGCCCTCCAAAACGTCCTCCAGGAAGGCCCGAAAGGGCCAAAATCATTGAATCGCCTTAGGTGTTTCAAGGATTGTGGTGTTTGCTCCTTTCAGCGCCCAAGAGGCCTCCAAGATGGCCCCATGACAGCCCAAGAGGCCCCCAAGAGGGCCCCAAGAAGGCCCGAGAAGGCCCAAAATGGCCTCCAAGACGGCCAAGATGGCCTCCAAGATGCCTCCAAGACGGCCAAGAAGGCATCCAAGAAAGCGAAGATGGCCCGAAGATGCACCCAAGACGGCCCCAGATGGCCTGAAGATGGCCTTAGACTGCCCAGAAGGCCCGCCAGAGGCCTCCAAGACGGCCCAAGACCCCTCCAAGACGTCCTCCAGGAGGCCCGAAAGCTTGGAAACCACGTGGTCCGATAGCTCGCCCGACACCGTGTTTCCCGAGGGTTTTCGAAACCCACTCGGGGAACACGCGGCCGGATAGCTTGGCCAAGCTGAAACTCAACTTTCGGCCACGCAGGCGCTTCCGAAAAGGCAGGATGCGGCGGTGATTCGCCGTAGGCGTCTTCGATAAAGCCAACGTCTCGATATGCGCTGATGATTCCTATCCGCCCCCGCATGATGTTCCCAGATGCGCCAAGGCAGCGCCAAGACGCACCGACGCGACTCTGATAGAGAGGGGGCTGGCGGCAGCGGGCGAAGCCCTCACAGATAATCAAATGCAATCGAGGTACCCACCACATTGAAGTACTCGTCCATATCCGCTGGACAACCCTTTACGAGGCCGCCGTCTAGAGTGCCGTGATGTTTGCTCCACAGACCTTCGAGGTCATGCTTGTTCAGCTCCCCCGACGCCCAATCTGTGATCTTACGTCCATCTGTGAGATCACGTGGAATATTGCTCAACACCGCCGTAAACTGACGCATGCTCGGATACGTGTCGAACCTTCGGGAGACCACCACCAGCTGGTAAGCGCCAAACCCCGCAGTGAACGCGAGGACCAATGCGTATGCCACGACCGCTGTGACGAACATTCGGTCGAAGAGCTGGTCGTACTTCTCCTGGATGGTCACTTAGCTACCCCCACTCGTGAGCCTCAGATCTATACGCAGCCTATCGGATACTAAAATCTAGGGAGTCTAGGGCACGGGGCACGGGTGCGTGGTTGATCGACGGGCCTTCATCTGACCACCTCCACCACTACACATTAGATCTGGATGTAACCTCTGACGCATGTGGGTGCTGCAGGTTCGCGTCGTGACGGCCTCTGCGCTGGCTCCTGACACCGCGTGGATCGTTCCACCTTGAACGGTCGCGGCTTTCAGTCAGCGCGGATCGCTCGACGTCGGCCGACTCTGGGCCACGGGCTGCGCTCCACCTTGAACGCTTGCGCTGGGGTCGCCAACGCTTCGACACGACACGAACCTACCGCAGCGGTGCCCAGACATCCTCCGATGTGAATTTTCAATCTGCGGCTCCCGACCACTTCATAAAACGCGAGAAACGCCCAAAATTCAAAAGCAGAAAACGCCCAATTTCAATCTTGGGCGCGAGAAACGCCCAAAATTCAAAAGCATGGGTCGCCAGAGATCTGGGACCGCAGGAGTGCCCACGGCAAGATCCTGTCGTGACAGCGTGGTCTCGGGGCTCCCTCACCGCGTGAGCCGGACGCGTCCCAACTGGGGTCCGAGTAGACGAGGTCGGAGGATCGCGCCGCATCACGATTGCATCGCCAATGCATCGGCGATGCATCGGCTATGACGGCGATCCATCGTCGGCGTGGAGAAAGTCGGGCTCTCTCTCTCTCTCTCTTTTTCTCTCTCTCTCTCTCTCTCTTTCTCTCACTTGCGTTCTCTCTCTCTCTCTCTCTATGTGTATACATACTGTATATGGATACTTATGTCTATAAACGTAAACGAACACATCTGTAAGTCTACGCATGTGCATATATGCATGTAACCAGCCCCCCACACACAGCACCATCCCTGCCCAAATCGATGATTTCTTTCCTTCTCTCTCTCTCTCTCTCTCTCTCTCTCGCGCTCTCGATATATATATATATATATATATATATATATATCTCTTAGTGGGGTGGAGTCTGGAGACACCCCCCCACCCCCACTACTGGAAAATCATCGACGACGACGACGAGGTCAGCGGCGGCGGCGGCGCACCTGTCGCCAGCGCCCGCGCCAGGCGCCGGCTCTGTCAGAAAGCCACTGGGGGCTCGATCTCACTCTCTCGGTATCCTACTAAGGCCTTACTGTATTCTATGCTGCTCAACCCTGCTCCATTCCACTCGAGGTTTCCCTACTCCTACTCTACTCTACCCTATTATACCCTGCCGTACTCTACTTTACCCTGGTATAGTCTACCCTACCGTACCCTAACATACTCCACTCTACTCCAATTTATGCTCTTACTCTTCTCTACTCAACTACTTCTCTACTGGATTCTACTCTCCTCCACTCCACTCTACTATACTCTGACCCACTCTACTCTATCCTGATGTACCATACCGTACCCTGACACGCTCTACTATACTTGCCGTGACTCCTACTTTACTACACTCCTACTCTATTATACTCAACTCTGCTCTAATATCACATTGCTCGACTCTACCTGTGTAATGTATACTGCTATCTACTCGACTGTGCTTACCCTACTCTGCACTGCCCTACTCGACTCTACCCTACCGTACCCGAACATACTCTACTCTACTCCACGTTGCTCTCAGTCTACTTTACTCTACTCCGTCTCTACTCTACTTTACACCTCTTCTCTTCTCTACTCCGCCCTGCTCTACTCGACACTACTCTATCATACCGTACCGAAACATACTCTGCTCTACTTTGCTCCTGCTCTATTCTACTCCTATTCCACGGGGACCGGCGGACCCCAGTGAGTCCCAACTGTCGGCTGGCGGTTCGGCGTGGTGCCTTTCTGCAGACGGGTGCATGGCCTCCCAGACTGCTCCTCCCTCCCTCCTCCTCCCTCCCTCCTCCTCCCGCCTCCTCCGTCCTCCTCCCTCCTCCTCCCTCCTCCTCCTCCTCCGCCTCCTCCTCCTTCTCCTCCTCCTCCGCCTCCTCCTCCTCCTCCTCTCCTCCTCCTCCTCCTCCTCCTCCTCCTCCTCCTCCTTCTCCTCCTCCTCCCTCCTCCTCCTCCCTCCTCCTCCTCCTCCTCCTCCTCCTCCTCCTCCTTCCTCCTCCTCCTCCCCCTCCTCCTTCTCCTCCTCCTCTTCCTCCTCCTCATCCTCCTCCGCCTCCTCCGCCTCCTCCTCATCATCCTCCTCCTCATCCTCCTCCTCCGCCTCCTCCTACTCCCTCCTCCTCATCCTCCCTCCTCCTCCCACTCCTCCAGTCTTGCCCCCCAGGCTGCTTCTCTGGCCTCCCAGGCTGCTGCGCGTCCCCGAGCCCCGGGGCCCCCTGCGGCAACTCATGGGAGCATCCCGTGTCATCGTGCTGGCTCTTGCGAATCGACGTTGACTAATACGAATCGGATTTGTACAGACATTGATTACCAGACGCTAGCGCACGCTAACGCACTCTCAAGCTGGAATCGCGGGGACATACAAAGCTCCCATCAGATACTACCAGGAGCTGCTACCATGGAGTGCTACCGAACGGGACTCCATCACTTGGGCCAGCTTCTTGCCGCGAACTGCTGCTTTGGCGGCCCAGGGCCCCTGGGACACCAAACATGCGCCATCGAGTCGCCGAATCGTCATCGCACCGCTTCCCGAACCCCGCAAACCCACCGAAAACCTACTCGGGCCTCAGGCGGCCGTTCAGGACGATGTCGGTATCCCTGGAACGCCCGTAACGAGGCGCAGCCGATGGGAACCACTCCGGTCTCCAGAAGCCCGTGAAAACCACAGAACCCTCCTCCGATTCCTCGACCGATTCCCGAAGGGGGGGAACGAACAACGACATGAACATGAGGTCCGCGCGGATTTCTTGGATCGGCGCTGGAGCCCCCCGGCGGCGCCTCTGGCGCCCCTCCCTCCCTGGCGCGCGCCGGCCCGAGAGATCCACGCGGACCTCTGAAAGCCTGTGCTTGTGCCATATTGCCCGCCTCCCGAGCCTGTCGATCCTCCTCCGAGCCCCGAGAGGCCCCGCACACTGCCGAGACCCCCCGCCGACCCCCGGCGCGGGTCCCGCACGCTGCGGGTCGGGGCGGAGCCGAAGGGCGCCATGAGGCCGCGGAGCGCCCTGGTGATGCCCAGGGCCTCCGCCACGCGCTCCGCCTCCCTCGCGACGCCCGGCGGCAGGTCCCCCCCCTCGACCACGGGGCCTCGCGGAGCGAGGGGTGCCCAGGGCGTCCCTGGCCCAGGGTGCCCCCAGCTGGTCGGTCCCCGTGTGGAGCTCTCAGAAGCCTCCCAGATTGGGTCGGCGCAGATGGGGTCGAAAGATCGCGCCGCATCGCCGACGCATCAGCGACGTATCGGCGATGCACCAGCGATGCCAACGTCGACTTCGGCGGTGCATAGGCGACGTCGACGTGGAGCAAGTCGGGCTCTGCATCGAGCCACATCGAGCCGCATCGCCGATGCATCGGCGATGCGGCGCGATCCTCCGACACCATCTGCTCCGCGCCCATCTGGGAGGCCTGGAGCTCTAGGGTCGAGGTTTTTGCCCCCGCGGGTCCGTCCCCCTCCCATCGTCGCTCCTCCGCCTCGTGCCTCGTTCTGTCGACCCCCGCTGCGGCTCCTGCCCCCGAGGGGCCCAGGCCCGCGAGGGGTGCTCGGGAAACTCGGGCGGCCCCCTTTCGAGTAGGGGATCGACTACAGAATTGATTTAAGCCAGGATTGATTTTCTCGTCGAATCAAACGTAGAACGCACGTAAGTGTACGAACATTCCACGTATGTCTCATTTACGCAACGAACAATTAGCTTGGGGGCAAATCAATTCTGGATTCGATCCCCTACTCGATCCTTGGAGATCCTGTGGGCACCCCGGCCCAGGGGCACTTCTGGCAACACCCAGGCGAGGGGCGAAGGGCAGCAGGAGTTGGCAGGCAGCCGCACGCGAACCTCATAAGGCAACTCCCCCAGGAGGTCTTCGCAGGAACGATTCAGAAGTATGGGTCTCGACGAAAGGGCCACTACACGTACGCCACGCCACTGTACCTTCACGGAGGGGACGGTGTATAAAGTCGCTGGCTCCCAGTGGTGATTTATACACCGCCACCCCCCCGAGGCCCAGGAGCAATCCAGTGGAGACGTCTGTGTACATTTTTTGTGGCGGGCACTGAGCCAGACTAAACTGGATTAAGCCAGGGATTGGGCCCCGGCCGAGCCGGAACAAGCGGGGCTAGACAGGATTCTGAGCGGGATGAACTGGGACAAGGCCCGATGAGGCCGGTCTTCGACCACAGATACACCAGCGCCGATGCCGAAGTGAACCTCCCAGGAGTTCCATCAGGAGAGAACCGTGCCCCTGCAGGCCAGAGCTCGGACACGACGGCCTGGATACAGAGCTCGAAGGATGTCCGCATCCAGCGGCGGTCCACAGTACCCTAGCGGCTATGGCGTCGACTGGGCCCGCAGGGGTACGGTTCGCAGTTGCATGCAGGCCGGCCGGAGCTGGATCGAATCGCGAAGCAAGGGGGGAGGAGGAGAAGGAGGATAGGATAGGATAGGACGCCGCCTGACGAAACGAGTCGAGGTCGAATGGCCACTGGCCGAAAACAAAACGAGTTACGAGGGAGGCACAGTGGCCAGAGGATCCCCACCCTCCTCAGCCGCCTCTTCCTCGACACGGAGCGGAGGAGCCTCGGCCGCAGCAGGCGGCCGCGAGCCTAGCTCCTCACGGTGCCGTACTCTGTCGCACAGCGCCTTCATCCTCACTTCGTAGCCGTGCCCGGCCTTGGCGCCGAGGTCGCTGGCCACCTGTGTAGTCTGAACCTGGCGCCTCGAGGCAACACTCACCTGAACATTGCTTGCGGGGATCGCTGCCTCCAGCAAAGCACTGACTCTGGGATTTGGCGCGAAACCCCGCCTGAACCTAGAAAGAACTTCACCCCCTGTACGAGTGGGGGGTCTGCACTCTCTCTTGAGCTTGATGGCCTTCTCTTGGCCCCAAGCTCCGCAACGAATACACAGGAGCTGGGCCCGCTGGAGGTCAGATGTGGCTCGCGCCGACGCCAGCCTGGAACTCGACGCTGCCACCAGCCTGTGCCCAAAATCCTGGAGGGTGAACTGCTCTAGACATTTGGGCGTCCCCTGGCAGCCTGTCATCGGCAGGTTTCCTACCTGGGGGCCAACGCAAAAACATTGCACGCACTGCCATCCCAGCTCACCCCAAATCCAGTCGCGCCACCCAGTCCTCACCGCCCGCCTCGCTCTCTTCCCGAAAGACAGTGGTCGCCGCCAGCGCTGGGTCTCCGAAACTTCAAAGAGGGGCAACACCGCGTCAGCGACCTTGGCGAAATTGAATGCTCGCTCCTCTGCCAACTCAAGACCTCTGAGGAGGGCAGGGCTCGGAGCAGGGCGGAGGCAAGCAGCGTTCTTCGCCTCTCGATCAGCGCGACTGTTGGCCAACGCCAGGCGCTTTTCAGCTTCATCTAACTCGTCAATGGCCTGCGTGCTGCGGTGGGCCTTGACATGAAAAACATTAGCATGTTTACGTCCTGACAGGGCGTGAGCAAACTTGAAGGCAAAACCAAAGACATTGGATGCTTTCATCTGCCGGTCTACTGCATGGTCGAACTGCCTGATAGCGCTCATGCAGTCAGCTGCAACCGAGCATTCTCTGTCAGCAATCTGCGCTGCGATGCTCAAGGCTACATTCTCGGCAACGCTGGGGGTCTGAGGCAGGTGGCCTGGCACTACTCCTTTCATTACCCCAACCATCTGGTCTCCTGGCGCCTGTACAACCACGGACCAGGTCGCTCGCTCGAGCTCTCGCAATCCTGGCTTGGAACATGAGCCGTCAACTGCAATCTCAAGCACTGGGGACACAGACAGGCCTGCGAATTCCTCTGGTTGAATATCGAGAGAGTTCCCACCCCCATCCTCCAACATAACCTCCGAGGAGCAGGAGGGGGGAGGAATGTCATGCTCATTGTACAGGCACAAACGACGAGTGAAGATCGGGTCATCAGATTCGATTGCTGCCTGCATAAAACTTGCAGGCACACCCGCTTCCTCTCGTGCTGTTGCGACTGCTGCTAGCTGACATTCATACAGACGGTGTTTGATGGCATCTTCGCGCCCACACTCGCAAAGACCATCCGTAACGTAGCCAACTATCTTCGCGCGACTTCGCGTCCAAACACCATCACAGGCGCGGCAGCTGATCTGGAATTTCTGATGTTTGCTGTAGCGCTTGCTCGCTGGGCTAATCACTCGCTCGATGAAATCAAAAGAGGCTCTCGGCAAACTGGGCTCATCGGGGCTCACTCGAGGCTCGCTCACTTTCGCTGCTAGTGCTAGCTCATGCTTGCGCTGTGCGCCTGCACTCAGTAACTGACCAAGCAATCCTGGTGAAATCTGATCGATGGCCACCTCACAGCCTCGATGATCAGCCCATCTCGTCGCCGACGTGACTGCCCAGCCTGCTCGCTGCGCCGCCAGTGCAGCTCGACGTATGGGCCCTCTGCTGCTGGCCCAGCTCAACTCAGTGTCATTCCTGGTCGCACTTCCTCCCAGAGCTGCAGGAGCCTCTGCGCACTGATCATGGGGTGGGGGCTGGTGTTGGCTACCCACAGCATTCGGCACCATTGCACCGCTGGTGCGACTGAAGTTTCGCCGATGAGTCGCCGTTGAGCACAACCCTGGCCGTCAGGCTGACCCCTCCATGCGCAGGTAGCTTGCACCGCGCATGGGCAGCTCGTAGTTTCCGCCATTCAGTATCATCCACGCCAGCAATCTCTGAGCCGTAGCACGCTTCAGGAGTGATACCAACTTTGACAATCTTTCCACACGCCTGAGCTTTGTCCACACCAGCAATCGCTTTGCGAAACCGTCGAAGCTCACGAAGTCGTCGTATCATTTTCAAGCCCCGCTTCTGCCTTTGCTTGCTGGCACCACCAGCACCACGACGCCTGCCTTCGCGGATGTCAGTGCCCACATACACCGCATTCTGCTTCGCCACTTCTTGCGGTAGCACAGCATCTGCCGCAAAATATCTGGCCAAGGATAGCGAACTGCCAACAACGACAAGTTTGTCGTTGATTGTGGCTTCTAGCATGTCAGACACCTCCACAAAGTCACGGTATGCATTGACCGCCAATTGCACCACAACTTCGGGACTGCTGCTGGATAGCCTCATGCTCTTATCGTCGAGATAGCTCCGAAAGGTCACCCACGCATGCCGTTGGACCAGCCAGTCAAACCCATCAACAACCCAAACTTTGATCGATATGTCACAACATGCATCGCCTGCAGGGAGTCCGATCTCTGGAAAGAGCACCGACTCGCTGTGATGACCTTGCAACCTGAGGATCCGCGGCGCGCGCCACATGTTGTAGGCCAGCTTGACATAGCCTGAGGGCGCACCCTTAGCCATGTACTTGTTTCTGAGCCTCGACACACGGATCTTATCATAGTATTTGCTGTGGTCGGCGATGATGGAGACACCGTGTCGCGCTGTGGCAGAGTCTGCTTCAGCCCCCGCAGCCTGGATCCATGCACAGTCAAGCGCACTGCGTCCCCGTCCTGCTCCCCAGTGCGGTCTGTCCAGTGCCACTTGCATCTGATCCAATACTCCACGCCTAGCTCTCTGCCACACGCGATAGAATCCCGCATACAATACTATCAGTCGATGCCCTTCTGACTTCCCCTTCGGAATCATAGGGGTCAGCACCCACGTGAGCTGTCGTGGGGGATAGCCAATCGCTTCAGCACATGTGAACAACTGGGACACTATTTCCAAAGCATCATCGTCCAACATAGCAAAGTGGCGAGGGTGCATTCCATCAACTGAGGCCGACGTAGTTTCTGGAAAGGACCGCGCAGCCGCACGCACCTGTTCCGCCGTCATAGGTGGCAAGTGTCCTCTGTCAGGAATCCAAGCTTCCGCAGGCCCCCTTGCACTCTGCCACAACCGTCGATAAACTTCTACCTCATGCGCCAGCACGTCGTGCGGGTGTGCTGACAAACCGCGCTTTGCACGCACCACTGTCGCAACGTACTCCGGCTTGTACTTGGTCGTTTTGTGCAATATTAGAGCTCCGCCTGCCGTCGCAATAGCACACCACTCCTTCCACTCTTGAGCAACATGTCGCGATTCTCCTCGCCTGGCCCAAGGTATTCGGGAATGTGCTGCACAAAGCTGTCACATATCTCAGG